GGCGGTGGCGGCGGCAGTGGTGACGGCGGTCTTGGTGATGGCGGCAGCGGTGACGGCGGTAATGGCGACGGCGGCAGTGGTGACGGCGGTGGTGGCGACGGCAGTGGCGGTGACGGCGGTGGCGGTGACGGAGGTGGCGGCGATGGGGGTCGTGGAGACGGCGGGGGCGGTGGCGGCGGCAGTGGTGACGGGGGTCTTGGTGATGGCGGCGGTGGTAACGGGGGTGATGGTGACGGCGGCGTTGGTGGCGGCGGCAGTGGTGACGGGGATCTTGGTGATGGCGGCGGTGGTAACGGGGGTGATGGCGACGGCGGGGACGGTGACGGCGGTGGTGGCGACGGCGGTGGTGGCGATGGCGGTGATGGCGACGGCGGGGCCGGTGACGGCGGTGACGGTGACGGAGGTATTGGCGACGGCGGGAGCGGTAACGGAGGTGGCGGCGATGGGGGTCGTGGAGACGGTGGCAGCGGTGACGGCGGCGGTGGTGGCGGCGGGAGTGGTGACGGGGGTGATGGTGATGGCGGCAGCGGTGACGGAGGTGATGGCGACGGCGGTAGCGGTGACGGCGGCGGTGGCGACGGCGGTGGCGGTGACGGCGGTGGCGGTGACGGTGGTGGCGGCGACGGCGGTGGCGGCGACGGTGGCAGCGGTGACGGCGGCGGTGGTGGCGGCGGCGGTGGTGGCGACGGCGGTGGTGGCGACGGCGGTGGTGACGGGGGTAATGGTGATGGCGGCAGCGGTGACGGCGGTGGAGGCGACGGCGGCAGTGGTGATGGCGGTGGCGGCGACGGTGGCAGCGGTGACGGCGGCGGTGGTGGCGACGGCGGTGGTGGCGACGGCGGTGGTGACGGGGGTAATGGTGATGGGGGCAGCGGTGACGGCGGTGGAGGCGACGGCGGCAGTGGTGATGGCGGTGGTGGCGACGGCGGGGGCGGTGACGGCGGCGGTGGCGACGGCGGTGGTGGCGACGGCGGTGATGGCGATGGCGGAAGCGGTGACGGTGGCAATGGTGATGGCGGAAGCGGTGACGGGGATGACGGCGACGGCGGTGATGGCGACGGCGGTGATGGCGATGGAGGTAGCGGTGACGGTGATGATGGTGATGGAGGTAGCGGTGATGGTGGTACTGGTGACGGCGGTCGGGGCGATGGAGGTGATGGCGACGGCGGTGGCGGTGTAGGTGGTGACGGCGACGGCGGTGACGGCGACGGCGGTGATGGCGACGGCGGTGATGGCGACGGCGGTGATGGCGACGGCGGCATAGGT